GCAAGAGGCCTGAGTTGGATCCTCCGCACTATAAACTGGGTGTGGCAGTATATATATATACCTGTATTCCAGAGCTGGGAAATTCGAAGTAGGAGGAACAGAAGGTCAAGGTCACCCTTGACTCTAAACAGCAAGGCTAGCCTGGGATACAAGAAACCCTGTCTCAAACAAAATAAAACAAAACCCTATTTTTAAAGTAACAAAGAGCCAGAGCTGAAGAGATGGCTCAGAAACTAACAGTACTTGTTCTTACAGAAGCCCCAAGGTCAGTTCCCAGCGCTACAGTGGCTTGCAACCATCCATACCCCATCTTCTGACATACCAGGCACACAGATGGTGTAAATATATACATGTGGGCCAAATACTCATACTCATTAAATAATTTCTTGTTTGTTTTTTTCAAATAGGGCTTCTCTGTGTAGTCCTGGCTGTCCTGGAGCTTACTCTGTAGACCTGGCTGTACTCAAACTCAGAGACATCCACCTGTCTCTGCCTTCCAAGTGCTGGGATTAAAGGTGTATGCCACCACTGCTTGGTAAATGTTTTCAATTAAAAATAAAAAAAGTAACAGAGCACCAGATAGTACTGGCACTTGCTGCCAAGCCTGGTGGTGGTCTGAGTTCAGTCCCGAGGGCTCACACAGCAGAGAGAACAGACTATGACAAGATATGCTCTGAAAAAAAAAAAAAAAAAAAAAAAAAAAAAAGATATGCTCTGAATCCCACATGTGCTCTGTGGTGCATCCCCTTTCCATAGCAAAACATGCAATAAACTAAAACAAGTAAATAAATAAAACCCCAACCTGCCAGTCATCATGGCACAGGCCTTTAATCCCAGCACTGGGCAGTCAGAGGCAAGAGGGTCTATTTCTTCTTTTGAGTTCAAGGCCAGCTTGGTCTCCTTATTCCCAGCCAAGGATCCATGGTAAGATTGTCTCAAAATAAAAGAGGCATTTCCAATAAACAGGACAGCCCAAAATCAGGCATATAAGAACTACTGCCCACAAAGCATAGTTAGCTCTAAAATGACACGTGAGAAAAATGCTGTAATTTGCAGACACAGTAGCTCATGCCTGTGATCTAAGCACTTGAGAGGCTGAGACTGGAAGACTGCTATATGAGTTAGAGGCTGGCTCTTGCCCTACACAGTTCCACACCAATCTGGGCACCAAGTGTTGACCCTATCTCAAGCACTACAGACAAGGTACCATGTTTTAGCAGGTGAAGGTGCTTGCAGCCAAGTCCAATAACCTTAGTTCTATCCTCAGAATGTACATGGTGGAAGGAAAGAACCAATACACACACACACACACACACACACACACACACACACACACACACACACACACGGAAAAAAAACAAGAAGCTATCTATGCTATCCTTCTCCTGATAAGTTATCCAAAATCTACATACCCCTTGACATGAGACTAGCTCGAGAGCCAAGAATGAAGGTCATGGCTAAAACAATGAAAATGGTGCCCAAGATGCCACACACTCAGATTCTTGTTGACTTGCCATTTTAACACACATTTTCTCTCCTTATCACAGAGGAACTCCCCCTCAAACTACCCAACATTCACACAACCTACAGAAGTCCACTGATATGATGGGAGAAAACAATCTCTACACAAAATATCTCTACCTATTTTTGTTTGTTTTCCAAGACAAGGTTTCTCTATATATATTAGTCCTGGCTAGCCTAGAACTGGCTCTGAGACCAGGGCAGCATCCAACTCACAGAGATCCACCTGCCAGTCTCCTGAGTGCTGGGATTAAAGGTGTGCTTTACCATCACCACCCAGTATCTCTAACATTTTCAATTGTACTGATACAATTAAAAACAAAAAAGTCAGGCAACAGAGGCGCAAGCCTTTAATCCCAGCACTGGGGGACAGAGGCAGGTGGATCTCTGAGTTCAAGACCAACCTGATCCACAAAGTGAGTCCCAAGACAACCAGGACCCACAGAGGAACCCTGTCTTGAATACCAAAAAGTAAAATTAAAAAAGCTCATTGTGGTGCCTGACAGCCTTCAGGAGACAGAAGCAGGAGATCTTGGTGACTTTAAAACTAACCTCATCTATGTAGTGAGAAAAACAAACAAACAAGCAAACAGGGAGCGTAAGAGATGGCTCAGTAGTTAAAAGTACTGGATGCTCTTGCCTGGGTTCAAGTCCCAGCATCCACATAGCAGCTTAAAACCATCTGTAACTTCAGTTTCAGGTAATTCAATGCCCTCTTCTGGCCTCCAGAACCACTAGGCCTACAAATGATACAGATATACATGCAGGCAACAACTTTATCCATTAACAAAATTAAAGGAAAAAAAAGGGCCTGGTGTGGTGGTGCCTGCATGCAATCCCAGCACTCAAGAAGCTGGAGCAGGGATTATGATTTCAAGGCCAACCTGGAGCTGTCAATATGGATCAGCAGACAAAGGTGATCACCACCAAGCTTACAGACCAACTTTATCTTCAGAACCCACAGAGGTACAAGAGAAAATTGACTTCCACAGTTGTCATCTGACCTACTTGGGCCATGGCACATGCATCCACAAACATATTCCTTCATTCCCCTACCATGACTCCCATACACAAAAGACCAATCTGGGCTACAGAGACCATGTCTCAAAAAAAATAAAATAAAATAAAATAAAAATAACATAAAACAAGAAAGAAGAAAATAACTGGCTTTGCTCTAGGATTTGGGAAAAAGTAGAAGACCTCTCTTAACCCCAGAGAACAAAAAAAGGAAAAATAACAAGAAAGCCTCCAGATGAAAAACGAGCTTCAACTTTGCTACTTCATCAAGCTTCAACTATTTTGTTACTAAGAAGGAAAGTCTAGGTCCATAGACAGGAAAAAAAAAAAACCCAAAACTATCATGACTGCATTAGTACTTTTCTTCCCAGTCTACTATCTCATTCTGGTGACTGGCTCATTAGGGAAAGGGCTTGCCCTGCAAGCACAAAGCCCTGGGTTTGATCCCAAGCACTGTATAAATGTGGGTGACATAAAACTGCTGACCCCAGCATTCAGGCAGAGGCAGAAGGATCACAAGTTCAAGGTCATGCTCAGTTACAAAATGAGCTTGAGGTCATCCCAGACGACATGAGACCCTATCCTTTTTTTTATTGTATTTTGCCCCCCAAGACAAGGTTTCTGTGTAGTCCTGATTGACATTCACTCTACTCTGTAGATCAGGCTTGGCTTTGAACTCAGAGATCCACCTGCCTCTGCCTCCCAAGCACTGGGATTAAAGGTGTGAGACACATCTCCAGACTAGACACTATCTTAAAAAAAATAAAGTTAAAAAAAAAAAAAAAAAAAAAAAAAAAGAGCTGTGGAGACACTGATTGCCACCAGACCTAATGACTTGAATTCAATCCCCAAAATCCACAACAGGGAGATCCAACTCCTGCAAGTTGTCCTGACCTCTATTATGAGTACAAACATACACAAACAAATAAGATATGAAATATAAATTCAAAAGTACAAAAGATTATTTCCAAAGGAATCACTGGAAGCACAAGTAGGTGTTACAATGGAGCAAGCACCCCTGACTAGAGCTTTGTCCCTCCACCCAAACATTCAGTGTTTCCAACCATCCAAACGTGAAGGCTTTGGCTGACATGCTGAGGACCACAGTTTGCAATTTTGCTATTTTATCTTGTGCATGTTCATGAAGGTGCACACGTGTATCGATGCCTATGAACAACCTCAGGTGTCATTACTCAGGGGCCATTCACTTTATTTTGGGACATGGGTCTCACCAGTTTTGCTAAGGTGGCTAGCCAGTAAGCCCCAGGGATCCACTTGTCTCTGCCTCCCCAGTGCACGCCCAGCTTTCTTACATGGACTCTGGGGATCAAGCCTAAGTCCTTATGCTTGCATGATGAGCACTTTCCTAACTGAATTCTCTCTCCAGCCCTCTGTTGTTTTTGGTTTTATTTTGGTTTGTTTTTTTTTTTTTTTTTTTTTCAAGACAAGGTTTCTCTGTGTAGCTTTATAGACCAGGCTGGCCTCCAACTCCAGAGATCCACCTGCCTGAGCGGATGCTGGGACTAAAGGCATGTGCTACCACTGCCCAGCCTCTGTTGTTGTTTTTAAAGATGTACTTACTTATTTTAGGTATGTGGGTGTTTCATCTGCATAAGAGGGCATGAGATCCCATGGGACCACAGTTACAGACAGTTGTGAACTTCCATGTGGGTGCTGGGACTTGAACTCAGTACCTATGCAAGAGCCACCAATGCTCTTGGCTGCTGGGCCATCTCTCCAGGCTCTGTTGGTTTTTGTTTTGAACTGCTATCTTTCAAATACGGAACCTTACTGCACACACCTGCATACACCTGTAGTCCCAGTACTTGGGTGGCAGAGGTAGAAGGGTCACCTTCTATGTTATGTAGCCAGGGCTACAAAACAAAAATCTTGTCTCCAAAAAGTAAAATATAAAGGATTCACTATTAGCGCCAGGTCTCATTTTGATATATCTCTGACTTTCTACTACAGCAGACATCACTTAACTTTATCTCTTGCAGTGTTCTCCCTGAAAATCTCCACCTGACATATCAAATTCAATCATCCCCATCACTCAAACAGTCCACTGGACACTAAGAACGGGAAAGACACTCCAACCTTGGCTCTTCTTGTTTCTGTAAGCTGCTACACTATAAAGACTATCCTTGCAATCGGGGTCCTGTGTCTCCACATAACTCAAGTCCATTCAATGGTTCACATAAGCATTTCATATTTCATTCCTGAAGAGTACCAATGGCAATGAAAGGTAACAAAGGTACCAACTTATACAGAAAAACTTCCTGAGCACCATGATAAACTAGAAAGGCCCACTTTCCCCCATCTAACAGCAAACACCAATATCAGAAGTGTTGACTACTTCAATAATTCTATCACATTGTTAAGGAAAAAAACAAAACAAACAAAAAGCCCCATTTGACTACGACCCCATCTCCTCCCAAATCATTAACCCAAGATTGTCTTACCCTCTCTCTCTCTTCCTCCTGACGTCTTATTCCTTCTCCTTTCCAGGGCTCCTGAACTTTCTGGAAACAAATTCTCTAGGTTACAGAGGCCAATAAGGGGAGGCCACCAGAGAACCTCACAAGTTCTTTGAGTGTCAGCAAGCTAACAATGGGGCAGCTTCGCCAACTAGCAATCCAAGGATGGAAGGATAGAGTCACAGGCGATCAGTGGCACCCACCCCGTGGATATGAGGGCACTAAGGCCAACTCCCCAAAACTAAGATGAATTCTATAACCAGCATTTGGGTTTCACTCCTGGGACCAGACACTTATTCTTCATTCCCCGGGGCTACAAGTAACCAGGAGTCAGAGGACAGAAGAGATGAAGGCAGGTCCCTGCTCCTAAGAAGTGGCTTTGAAAGCAAAGCTAAGGGTAGGGGGTGCCCAAGCCCTTAGGCACAGTGCCAAGTTCAGGCCCAGCCACTTCCTCTGGCCTCGCCCCCCCACTCCACTTCTACGAGGACTTCGACCCCTGCCTACCCAAGGCCTTGTGCCAAGAAGTCCCTCCTTCAGCCTTCAGTGGTCTCTATGCTGGAGACCCCCGGCTGTCCCCCTGAACCCTTCGCTCCCCTGAGACACCCAGCTGGGTCCTTCCTCCCGATGTCAACTCCCACCCCTTCCTCAAAGACCGGCCTTTGGGACGTCCCTCCTTCACCCCTCCAGGGAGCTGAACTCTGCCACCCACCAGACAGGCACCCGCCCCCTAGACCCCCCCCATTCCTCCTCATCGCCCGCTCCTCCACAGCCACTTCCGCTTCCGGGACAGACACACTTACAGTCGCACCGTGGACCCCCCCCTCGCCGCGCCGCGCTCGCCCAAGGAAAAGGGGAGGGGGAGGAGCGAGGAGCTCGGCGCGCGCCGGCGGCAGCGGCGCGAGACTCACCCGGCGGCGGCGGCGGCGGCGGCGGCGGCGGCAGCAGCGCCGGAGCCAGCGCGCGGGAGGGGCGGCGTTTGCCGGGGACGACGGGAGGCGGGGGCGCGCGAGGACCCGCAGGGCGCGGGCCGGGGACCGAGAGGCGGGGCGCGCGGGCATGCACTGCCGGCGCCAGACGGACCCCACACTCGCAGGGCTGTGCGCGAGACACCCGCGGGGCGAGGCGGGGGCGCAGGCAGTGTGCGGCCCCCCGCCCTCCCGCCCGCCCGCCCTCCTCAACACTCACCCGGAAGTGGTGCTGCGGCTCGTGCTCCCGGGAACCCCGACTCCTCCACGCCCACCTTCCTCCCCCCCCCCACAGCCTCAGTGAGGAGTCGTTTCGCGGGGAGAAGGCGGGAGAGCCGGAAACGAAAAAAGGGGGGGGAGGAGAGGGAGGGAAGTAGCGAAGGGAGGGTGGCTGCAGGAAAGGGGGGGGAAAAGAGTTCAAAGATCGAGTCACTTCCGGGAGCGGCCAGAATACATCCGGCGCTGCTAGGGCTCAGGGACAGTGAGGGCAGAAGTTACGACAAGAAAGGGCGGAAGTGGCTCCTGCCCGGGGACCTGTACAGCGATCGCTCGACGTGACGCCCGGCGGAAGTGAAGGCGGCTTCTGTTAAGGGCTGAAGCTGAGCATTCGGAGAGCGCTCCCGAGCTTCCGGAAGAGACAAATCGGGAAGTGGGAGCGTGGAAGCTGGACGGGTTCATGAATTATGCATCAAGGCACTATCGACAGTCTCGGTTCTCCCCTCCTTTTCTAGATTTATTTTATTTACTTAAATGTATTTATCAGTGTGTGTGCGGTTTTCTAGATTTATTTTATTTACTTAAACGTATTCATCAGTGTAAGTGTGTGCGGCTGCCCTCAGCAGCCCACTGGAGTTACGGATGGCTTCGCGCTTCCCTACCTGGGTGCTGGGAACCGAACCTCGGGAAGAGCAACAAGCACTCCATGCCGCTGAGCCATCCCTTCAGCCTCACAGAGACGGTACTACCGAGTCTTAAAAGACAGGGGTCACGGTTCATGTCGGAGTGTCATAGGCTGTTGTGGGCAATTAACCTTTTTTTTCTTGGCTCTTCACGAATGTCTTTGCTGAGCGTGGGTGGGGAGAGTCTCATTGCTTTGAATAGTCAAGAAAAGGTAATACATAATGTGCCCTTAGTTGTTTGGGGCTCCTGCCTAAGTGCTATCAAAATTCCGTCTGTCTTCGGCTGACCACACTGAGTACTCTGTCTTTGCCTTGTTTTTTCTTGTTGCCCCCCACCCACATCTCTATCTTCTTACCAGGTTTTACTTTTAAGTACAACACTCAGCGTACCACTTCCTCCCAGCTCCATACGGACGAGGACTTTGAACTGCTCCCTGTGGTATCAACAGATTCCAGAATTTAAGCTGTTCAGAAAATGTTTGTTGCATAAATGAGCAGTTCATTATGAACTATTGCAGGAAACCTTCCCGGATTGCTCCAACCCAAAGTTTCTTTTAAAATTTTATAGCAGCCTGGCACTGGTGGCGAAAACCTTTAATCCCAGCACTCAGGAGGCAGAGGCAGGCGGATCTCTGTGAGTTCGAGGCCAGCCTGGTCTAGGGATAGTTCCAGGACAGACTCCAAAGCAATACAGAGAAACCGTGTCTTGAAAAACCAAAAAATAAATAAAATAAAATTTTATAGCATTTATTGTGTGTGTTTGTCTTTATTATGTTGTTGTTGTTGTTTTTAACAGGATGTCTCTGTAAAGCCCTGACTTTCCTGGAATTCTATCTGTAGACCAGGCTGGCATCAAACTCAGAGAGATCCACCTGCCTCTGCCTCCCAAGTGCTAGGTTTAAAAGTGTGTGCCACCACTGCCCCGCTTTGTCTTTGAAACAGGGTTTTATATAGGTAAAGCTGACCTTGAATCTTTGTTCTACTTGCATCCACCTCTTAAGTTATGGGATTTCAAGCCCCTCTTTGTCTATAGCTTTTACTGTAAATTTTAATTAACTTGTATTCTGAATCTCTAGCAAGATTTGTCAGGGAAGAAACTGTTCACACTAGATACTGAAATAATGTGTTAAGTCACAGATGCTGCCCCTGTAGAGGGGATCAGCTTCCTTCTATCCTATCTAGTACCTTCCCTAAGCTGCAAAACTGCTGGCATCTAACAGCAGGATGGGACAATGGGATTAACTTCCTAAATGCCTGCTTATATCCCATCTGCTTCCTTCACTAATCCGCTAGGTTCTGAGACCCCTACTCTCCGAAGTCTATAAATGTAATTTCCTTTGTCCTTCAGATTCTTGTTGGTCTCCTATACCAGCTCCGTCTGCAGCAATTGACTGGTGTAATTAAAGGATGTGGTTCCCAAAACTCCATCTCAGTACCAAACCTGGAATGAATTCTTTAATATTTAAGACAATACATTTATCTATCTATCTGTCATCTATTTGTTTATTAAATCTGCATAGCCACAAGGCCAAATAGCATGATCTGGCTAGAGTCTCTCTGAGCTCAGGACTGTTTTGGCTAATGTCGAATTGTGTTTCCTCAGTGAGAAAGCAAACTTGTTCTAACAAATAACTATGATCTTATTCTACAGATAATTAAAGTGAGACTGTGACTACCCCACCCCCAAGTCACAGCCAGGAATAGCAAATGATACCTTTAGATATTTGTTAGTTTGTTGTTTATTTGAGATAGGGTCTCACTATGTAGCTTTGGCTTAGCCTGGGATCAGGTTGAGCAGGCAGCCTTGCCTACTTTTGAAGACGGAATCTCTCGTGGTCCAGGCTGGCCACAGACTTGCTAGGAGAACTTTGAACTCCCAGTTCTGCTGCCTCAGTCTCCTTCAGTGCTGGATTACAGACATGAGCCACCACACCTCATCTTTGTTTTGGTTTGAGTTTTTGTGTGTATGTGGAGACCAGAGGTCTTCCTTAGTCCCTGTGCTCATTTTTTTTTTTTTTTTTTTTTGAGGTAGGTCTCCAACTGAACCTAAATAAAGTTCACCAATTCAACTACATCACCTGGTCATCCAGCCCCAGGTGTCTTCCCGCCTCTCCAGTACTGGAATCACAGATCTGAGCCACCAGACCCAGATTCTCAGATTTACATCTCCCTAGCATTATTTTGTTGTTGTTACTGTGTTTTTATTCTTGTTTCTGCTTGTTTGGAGTTTTGAGATGCTCTCACAGAGCTCACACTGGCCTCAAACTTGGCACATAGCTAAAATGACCCTGAACTCCTTTCTAATCACCCAATAAGTGGGATTATAGGGGTAAGCTACCATGCAGACAGAGTGTTTCTTTCTTTTTATCACATTTTTGAGCCCTGTTGATTTTTGAGTCTGTGTTGATTTCAGTGGCAAATTAGCAGGATAAGGGCTTAAGTGGCCCAGTCATCATGTACCTGTAATCCCAGCATTGAAGAAACTGTGGCAGGATTAAGAGTTACAGTCAGGCCAGCCTTGGTTACATAGAGAAGACTTCGCTTGCAAAGGAGAAGGAGGTAAAAGAAAAAGGGAAGAAGGGAGGAGAGGAAAGGAATGTGGAATCAAGACAGTAATTCCCAGAAGGCCTGGTTCTCCAGCTCTGCCTCCTGCATACATTCATCAACCACTCTCTGAGCCTTGGTGCCTCTGGCAGCCCTTCTGCCTCTGCTGTAAGGAGTGACTTAACCCCCTAGAACAAAGCTGTAGAGCAGTATATGTAGGACATGGTGGGGAGGAGGGCTGTTAATTTTAGCCTGGGGTTCTCCAGCTGGCATAGTTTCCATCTTGAATCATTTCCACACCCTGAGCTCTGCTAGGAGATCCCTCCTCCTGGGGGCTTCCCCATCCCCTGCATTGGTACGTGCCACAAGGGTAAGCATTCCAGAAACGTGCCCGGGAGAACCTTGGCTGAGTCATTTGATGGTCTCAACAAAGCGTTTGGTGATAGAGGATGACACCTCCCATCAGGCCTGTGATGTGTAGCCTTCAAGAAACTTTCAAAAGAGCAGCTTGGCCCCTGCTTTCTTTTCCCTCTATAACTCTGACTATGCAAAGCTCAAGAGGACTTGAGCCTCTGTTCAAGTTTTTAAAAAGAGGAAAATCAAGGTCTGTTCCCCGGGGCCCCATGTGTTGTCCCTGTTAGCACTGACCCAGTCCTAGCACAACTCTAGGCAATCCAGATACCCAGATTGTCTCCTTTCTCCCATCTCTCTGGCCTTCTGCCTTTCCTTGAGGAGAGGGCATTTGGGGGAAAGGAAACAGGTGAGATTTCCAGTGTCTTTAATGGTGTGTTTAATTTATTTAAATTTAGGAGGACTGCAGTCTAATCAGACAGCAATTAATTCCTTCTTCATTAGGGGACTTCATGTGTGCCTTTTGCATATGGATGAGCCACAGGGTCACACTGTCCCTTTAAAGAGAATTGTTGAAGGTGAGAGCAGGGAGCCCTCCAAACACGAGTTCCTTGCCCTTCTGCACCAAATGTTCTTTCCTTTCCTCTCCTCTGGCAAGGGCGCCAGCCCTGTGGGGAAAGCTGGAAAGGGTAAGGAGGCTCCCCCACTTCCCCAGAGCCCTTCGCTAACACAGCCTTCAGCAGCCTCCCCTGCGCCCTCAGTTTCCTCCCAGCTCTCTCCTTTCCTTCTTACTTTTATTTTTTCTTCGTAGACCGGGCTGGCCTAGAACTCGGAGATCCAATCTGCCTGTGCCTCCTGAGTGCTGGGATTAAAGGCGGGCATCCCCACTGCCCTGCTTCCCTTCTTTCTGACACCTCTGGGTTCTCTAGGTCCCCTGGTGTGTTGACAGCCCTCCTCAGAAGGCTTCTTTGCCTCATACCTCTGCTGGTTGGTTCATTTGTCCTAAACACTACTGTTGTCCTGAGAGATACATTCCTTCTCCCCCATACTCATCACCCTGTGCTTTAGGGGTTCAGCCACACTTCCCTCGATGTACAGTACAGCTCCCCAGCATCTAAAACACACAACATCCCTACTTATATCTTCAAAGATGAAACACATAGAGGCAGGTACAGTGCAGGAAGCCCACACTGCCCTCTTAGGCACTATATTGTCTCCTACTTCCCTGGGGCTACCCATTTCCAGGGAGCAGGTGAGGCACAGATTGGGGAGTGAGCAAGACCTGGGTGGTTACCACAGCAACAGAGCCTAGCAACAGCTGAGAAGCTGATGTGTGGGCTTTACTAGGGCTGTTAAAGAGCCAAGCCTAGAATGGGACCTCAGAGGTGACTGATCACAGCTGGGCAGCCTGTGTTCCCTCCCCAGACACACCCCTTGATTCCACCCCCACAACCCAGCAAATGCCTTCCAAGGAATGGAAAAGCTAATGAGCTAACCACAGGGCTTCTGGTGCAGCACAGCTTTTGGCGGGCAGTTGTGGGTAGGGGCATGTTCAGGAGCGAGGATGAAAATAAACCAAATAGAGCACCCTCTCTCCTGTGGCTCACTTTTCCCCCCCTCCATCTTTCTCTCCGCTGACCCTTTATCCTCTGCCTTTGCTGTCTTGCCCAGCGTGGTGACTCATGCCTGTAAGCCCGGCACGAAGGCGGCCAAGGTGGGGGGATCTAGTCCCGGCCAGTCTGGAATACAGAGTGAGAGACTTGTCTCCAATCAATCAGTTGCTCTCTGGCTTGTCCCATTGCCTGTCCTAAGGATTGCCCCCCTCTTTTTCTGTCTCTCCTCTCTCTCCCTCTCTTGACCCTCACCAAGAAAGAAGAAGCAAGCACACTCCTAGCTCCCATTCCTTTCCTGCAGGCTCTTCCTCTGGTACCCTTCCTTCAGCTCCTCCATCCTGTCCCAAGTTAAAACGTCCGTCAGCCCCCAGCTTCAGGTAGAGCAGGCCAGGTGACAGCCTAGTCTGGAGAAGTTCCCCATCTCCCCTTTGTTAACTGTTCTCCTTCTTGCCAGTCCTCGTGTGTGTGTGTGTGTGTGTGTGTGTGTGTGTGTATGTGTGTGTGCAGGGGGTGGGGTTATAAGGCAAAACAGGGCACTTAATTATCTTGCAAAGGCTTTATTTGAAAATTTTGAAACTTACATCCCACAAGATTATCACCACAAGAAGAAAGAGATAATACAAAAATATATATCACAGCATAGGAGCCAGGTTAGAGAAAGAAGGGAGGTGGAAAAACCAACAAGAAAGGGGACCTGAGGAGAGGAAAGGGGTGAGAGGCAGGAGGGGGAGAGGGGGACATGAGGGACCCAGGGAGAGAAGGGTGGATGTGGAGGCAGAGCTCCCAATGGCCTTGAACCAGCTGGCTTCAGTCCCTGGCAGCCTAGGTACAGTTAGGGAAAGGTGGGGAGAGGGACCTGTTCAGGGGGCTCTGAATTCCACAGAGACACATACACACAGACAGCCAGGACAGACAGACAGACAGACAAGGGACTTGGGAGGGAAAGGAGGACATGGAAGTCCCTTCTCGTGTAGTGCAGCAGGTGACCCCCCAAGCCCATCTTTCAGATGGATGACAGGGTTTAGCAATTGGGCCTCACCACCCCCATTCCTATGGGGGAGCCCCCAGAGTAATAGTAATACCAGTGCCCTTGGGATGGAAGGACAATGAAACGCAAGGCATGGAATGAGATGCGGCCATGACAGATGGCGAGGAGCCCCTAGCTCACCTCCCACCCACCTCTAGGGCAGCATGCAAGGGCCACAGAAACCAGACCAGTGGGTGCTGGGGCAGAGCGAGCACAGCCCAGTCTGAGATGGGCACAGGAAGTGCAGAGGGGATAGAACATGTGTGACAAGAGGGAGAGAGCAGGGAGCCAGCTGAGCAGACGAAGGCGGGACGGGACGCGGAGCAGAGCAGCGTGGACAGCGTGAGTGTGCGCTACGGCCTGTGAGGGTGGAGGTGAGTGTGCAAGGCTTTCATGTGAATGTGCAAGGGTGGGGATGGGGACCCAAAGTCACAAGTGTGGGAAGCCCCCAGCCACTGGAGGCAAACAGGTGGGCTTGCCCATGGGGTCAGTGAGTGTTCCAGGTGATGTGCAAGGGCAGGGGCTGGGAGCCCCACCACGGTCCCAGTTCCCCACGGTTGCCCACCCTCAGTGGATGGTGGCCTCCTGCTTGGCAGCACCCCAACATGGGGAGCATCACAGGTTCACCAGGGGAATCCTGAGAGGAAGAGGGAAAGCGCATAGTCAGGAACCAAGGAGGAGGCCGAGGCTGAAGGAGAAGTCCAAGACAGCCGGTACTCAGGGTAAAGAGGGCAGAGCTGGGATTAAAGGGTGGCCCAACAGGACATGAGGAGAGGCAGGAGTCCCCTTTGCCCAGGAGGCCTGGGAACCAGGTCAGGAAGGAGAGTCATGGGCTACAGTGGAGAAGACCACCCACCCCGAAAAGACCTACCAAAGGTCTGGAGACCTAAGTTGCATTCCCTCTTAACCCTCCCATCCCATTGGCCCCTGCCCTCACCGGTTCAACTGGAAGGCTGGAGCCCCCTTGGACTGGGGCATCCCAGGCCGGGGTCCCCCTCGGGGCTCCTCATGGTCAGGGGTGGGGGTAGGTGAGTCCCCGAAGGCCCCCAGCACAGTGACTCCAGCGGGGGACAGGTCTGTCAGTGGTTGCTGGCTCTCCTCCTGCCTCAGGGCACCTTGCTGCCCTGAGGGCCTGCGCCGTTTCTGGCTGCGGTCCCAGCTTGTGCATCAGAAGGAAAGAGGTCTTTTCACACACTCGAGTGCCCTCTGTCTTAGGCCAGTACCTCTGGTCAACCCAGCTTCTTCACCCTTGCCTGGTACCTCCCCCCTTCTTCACAGGACAGACTGTCCTCCGAGACCGTGCACCCGTCAGAGTATTCCTTCTGCTTCCCTCTAAACCATCTCTGGAGAGCCACAAGCTTAGTGCCCCCTCCCCACCAATGCAAAGCCCCTTCAAGCTGCCCCTTGCCACACTGAGACCCAGAGGAGCCCTTTCTCTCCTCTGCAGGAACCTGGCAGCTTTAGTCCAAGTTCAAAGTCAGCTAATGGGCACCTGAGTCTAATGATTCTCTCAGTAAAGTGTGAAGGACTATGTGACCCACCATTAAATGTGTACAAAGAAAGCTCCCGATTCCCCTGATCCCTCCTGGATAGAAGCCCTAAGAAAGGCTTCTGCAGCCTGGTTCAGTTTTTTCTGTCTTGGAGAGCTGCCCACCAAAGTCCCTGGTATAGCCCTCCCACTACCCTTGTAATTCTCTGGGGGAATCTGCACTGGTTTCTCCCAGTCCTCCTCCACTCCAATTAGTTTTTTTTTTTTTTCTTTTTCTTTTTCCACTCTCTTCCCTTTGTCCATGATTTCCTACTCCAGTGAGACGGATGTCCTTGATCTTGCCCTCTGTCTAGCCTTTACAAGCCTTCAGACATCTCCCCCAGCTTACCAGAACTTGAAGATGATGCCAGTAGCCACAAGAACAATGATGATGGATATGGTGATGGTAACATAAAGCTGAGGGTCCACACCTGATAAAAAGAGGGAAGACAGCTCTGTTGGGAGGCCTGAGGCAGAGCCAAAGCAGGGTGTGGCTGAGTACTGCCCTGTGAATCCACATTGCCTGTCTACTTCTCTGGACTCTGGCCTTCTTTGTCATCAACTTTCTCCTGAGCTGTCCGCTCCTCTATGTTCCCAAACATCACACGTACCAAATCTTACACATACATGTGATGAGCATAAGGCTCTGAGGTCAGAGAGAACCATCCTCCAGTGTAGAAATGGGGGTAGAGATATCAGACAATCTTCCATGGCCCCACCCTAAGCCACCACCACCCAGCACAGTATGAGCTAACATGTTGCCTGGTGGAGACCTTCCTCCATAGCATCCCTCTGCCAAGAATACCCATTCTGTTTTTAAGGTTTATTTCACATGTCAATTGTTTGATCTGTCCCGAGCCCCAGGGTAAAACAGTCTCTCACTTAGCTGTTTTCCTAACAACATGCTGTCTGTGTTTCTTTTAGAGTGTTTATTATGTTGACTCATCCCCACATGTTTACACATCTGTCTTCAACAGTGGACCTGAACTCCTTCAGAGTGCTGGCAGCATCCCTTCCTCTGCATCCTTGCCAGCCTAGAACCTGGCTGATGGGCCCCTCATTTTCGGCATAGTCTTCAGCCACCCTCCCCATCCCTCACATCCCTACCAGCCTTGCTCACTCACCTTCTCCACGCCCTCCAAAGAGGAAGGGCCTCAAGGTAGCAGGTGTTTCCCCAAGGATGAGTCCATCTCCATCATCCCGCATGGAGTCTGAGTTGGGGTGCGGGGTAGCCAGCCCATGTGGGGCTGCAAAGCCATAGTCCAGGGGCAGAAATCCAGGATTGACAGAGTTGGGGTCCCCTCCATCCTCTCGAGATACTGTGGGACCCCACACAATAGCCCAGGGGTATTGAGATGAGGGAGGCCCTTCCTCAAAGCCCGATGGGGTGGCAGGAGGTGCAGTGCCCGGCAGAACTTGCCGACGTGATCTTGGGACCCGTGGGGATCGGCTTGGTGGAGGAGCCCGCTCCCAAACACACACATGGCGAGGGGCTGAGGGGCCACCCCGGACGCAGGGGGGACGGGCTGGGGCTGGTGGGGATCGAGGGGAGGAGCCCTGAACAGGCAGTGGGAGGGGTAGCAATAGCAGTGGCCAGAGAGGGAGGAGTTGGGACAGCAGTAGAACAGGCCTATAAGAAGGAAGAAAAAGCAGGGAGACCCGGGTCACTGTGAGCTCATGGATGAGAAGGGTAGGCGCACACCAGAAAGCTCGGGTACCTCCCTCCAGGTTTCTCTGCTAGAAGAGATGTGCAATTAGGAAGACCCTAGCTTCATTTTGTCTCTTCTTGGGTGGGTGGGGGGGGGGAGGTCAGTCCTCCTGTAACCCTGAGTTGGCCTAGGCGGGAAAGGGCCCAATCCCTCAGGGAACGTGGTCTTCAAGCTCCCTCTGCTGGGCCAAACTCACCACATCCTGCACTCCGTGTCTGAGGTCTTCCTCAGCTGTGACCCAGATTTTCAGCCTTTACTGGAGGAAAAATGAGGGTGTCATACCCCAACCTGCCCTGTGTTACTTCCCCAGCTCATCCCTCCACCAAATCTGCCCCTTGGTGCCCCCCCCACCTCCCCCCAGCCACGCGCAGTTACCAGTCAGCCAGCTGCTGCTTCGAGGCACCCTTACAGGGGAAACCTCCCTCAAGTAGCCCCCAGCCCCACCCCCGACATCCCAGAGAGGTCCCTGCCACCTCCTGGCCCGGGGTCTGTCTACTCTTGCCTCTTTGGCTTCCTTCCCTCTCACTTCCTCTGCCCACAGCTTCAGGCTTCTTGGATCTTAATTTAGAGCCAAGAACCTTGTGATTCCCTGAGCACCTACCGCTAGGGAGGGAGTTTGAGAGTGGGGGAGGGAAGGGAAGTCAATCTTCATGAGTGTTGGAGGGCAGGGGGTGCTAGAAGCCCCCTCACCTCTTGTAGTGCCAGGCACTTCTCCTGCGACGAAGCCCAGAAGCTAGCTGCCTTTCCAGAAAAATGGTAGGTGGGAGAAAAGCTATGGAGCATGACTTTTGCTCTTGATGTTTAGCCATCCAAATGCATAGGTGCATTCTGAAAGAGGGTGGTGTTCAAAAGGAAGCCACCCCCAACTGTGGCTCTTCTGGGCAAAGTCCTAGGAGAGTCTAGATGGCTGGTTCACAGAGGAAGTGCAGTCTCCAAGCAGGGGGCTGGGGTCTCCAGAGAGAAGGGGCAAGTGACACCCTGTGTCTTCTGGGTTCCCAGGGAATACACGGCATGGTGGACAATAGGCGTGAGGGGTGTGAAGGGCTGAGAGGGCAAAGGCTGGTCAAGAGTGAGAAGAAAGGTGTGCAGCATCTGGGAAGAGATGGGAGGGAAGAGGGGCTACCGACGAATCACGGGGGACGCTGAAGGGAGAAGAGGGCGGGGAGGAGGAAGCCAGAGGACAGGTGGGAGAGAGGACCGAGGGGTCTGATCAGGTCAGAAGCAAAGAGAGTGGAAGAGAAAGGAAAGGATGGAGATCAGACATGAGGAGAAAGTCGTGGAGATGGAAAAGAACATGGTGTGAAAGCAAAATCAGAAGAGGAAGGGATGGGAATAGAGGGGGAAAAAAACGGAACAGCAAAGATGGAGGAGTTAGGAATTGTTTCTTGAAATTTAAAGGCCTAGGGAGACAGAGCTGGAGGGCAGGTGAACGCGAAGGAAAAGGAACGAGGTAGGCCTGGGGGCTTGGGGAGAGAGGTTACAGAAGCCGGGAAAGACATGGTAAACGAATCAGCGGAGTGGATAAGGGCTCAGAGACACCAGTGGCCCGCTGACTCCAGGACCCACCTGCCTCTCGGTCTGCTGTCTGCTACATCCCCTGCCACCAACGTCAACTCCAGCCCCTTCACACATACCCCGTACCCCTTTGTCACCCCCTCCAAGAAGTCCGCAGTCTCCGAGCTGGTACTCCACCCCACCCCCTTCGCGCTCCTCACCGACCTGTTGTGCGCAGAAAACGAACTGGGGGTGGGGTGGGGGAACAGGGCCCCATCCCTAGCAGAGCCCCCAAGTCTGCCAATCCCACAGGCCTGCACTCCCTCCACAGGGCTGGAAAGCCGGGGAAACCAGGAAAAGATCAGCCAAGGGATTCGGAGGGAGCACCCAGAGCGGAAAAGGGACCTGAGGCAGGAGGATGCCCGAAGCTGCAGGATGAGCTAAAGGCGGGATGGAGGCAGCCGCGGAGAAGCTGATTGCTGCACCAGGAGGGTAGGATGGAGTCAGACAGCGGAGGGATGGAGAGCACTGTGGAAAGGAGCGCTTGGCGGCTGGGGCCCGACAGGGGACTAGACCAGGAGGGGCTGGAGGCGAAGGGCGAGGAGCTGGCACTGGGGAGGGCAGGGCCCACTCCCTCCGGGTGGGGGCGTTGGGTCCCCCCTCTCTCACCTGCATGCCTGGCGTAGCGGCGCGACGACTGCAGGCGCTCGGAGCTGCGCGGGGCTGGGGGGTCGCAGGAGCGGGTGGGGCGCCGGGCATGGTCGGGAGGTTTGCCTGGCAGCAAGGCGATGGAGCCGGAGGGGGGCGGGCGCCCAGGGCGCGGGGCGGCGGCGGCGGCGGCAGCGGGAGATGCTCGCTTCGGCTGGGCTCGGCTGGGCTCGGCCGGGCTCGGCTGGGTTCGGCGGGCGACTAGGACCACTTGGTCTCCGCCTCTCTTCTTCACGTCTGTAGGCCACGCACAGTTTAACTCATCGCGTGCCACACTGCGAGCTCAGCTTTTGTCCCAGGTGGAAGCAAGGCTGGGGAGGGCAGCAGGGATGGGGGACAGAGACAACCAGTTCTCTGGGTTATGATGACACGCTCTCCCTCTACTACCTAAGCGCAGCTCAACAGACCCCATGATTTCTGATCCCCCAAGACGTTCTGAGATTCTGAGTTACCCATACATTTGATTTACCAACTCTGGCCAGGGTGGAAAGGGATGGGAGTTCAAGACCATGGATGAGAGGACCAGGGAGGGGTAGGAGAAAAAAAAACTATATAAACAAATTAGAGTGCCCCAATAGCTTAATCCTCTTATTTCATTTTGACCCTGCTATATAATTTATTCCCTCTGAAGCAACCCAAACAGTCCTTACGTGGTTTGATACCCATTTACTGCCCTTAGCTTTTCCAAGGATATCAAAATATACAAACTACTTATTGTGGCTTACAAGGAAGCCCTGTAGGTTCCTGTCTCTAGGTATCCCTGGTTTTCTTTCCCAGGAATTTCTGTGTCTCAGCTGCAGTGTAGCTGGCACATGTCCCTAGAAGGAGGCAACTGGAACCTGCTTTGCACCTGCTATTCCTTCTAGAAGCTTTTCTCTGGCCATTCACAAATGGCCCGGAGCAGTCTCACATAGACCCAGTCTTCTGAGAGGCCCTGACCTGAGCCATGGTGGCTCTGGGGGAAAAGGTGCTTGCCACCAAGCCTGACTACCTGAGTTCCAACCCTCGGGACCCACATGGTGGAAGGATGACTCCTTTCAGTTGTCAGCAGACCTCTAACCAGGCTTGTGAGACACACCCACACTAAGAAAATGTAATTGAAGAATTCCTCTGGCCCTATTTCTACCCTCTCATCTCTCTCCATCCTCCTACATCCCCTACCCCACAACTTCTAGCAAACCACACTCTCCTAGTTTCCCTCCACCCTCCCTGCTATTCTTTCTTAGTCTTCCTCAGCTCGGACTTCTTAAGTGTTGGAGCCTCTTAGGGCTTAGTCCTTGGCCTTCTCTTCCCACATTCTTTGTCCAGTGATCTCATCCAGTCCCAGGGCTTAAATACTCTGTAAATGTCAGTGAGTCCTAAATTTATTTCCATAGTGTCAGACTCATTTGTCCAACCACCCACTTGACATATTCACTCCGATGTCTAATAGCCATGCAAACCTGATGTGACTCAAATAGATGCCTTGAACTATTCCACCCCCAATTCACTTCTGTCCAGGGCTCTTTGTCCTGAGACATGAAAACTCCTTGCTGTTCAAGATAAAAAAGTTTTGATTTTCAGTTCCCTCGTAGTATCTCTAGCATCAGCAAGTGCTGCAGCCTCTACTCTGGACACAAGTACATCCCCTGTCCACCCCCCTCATCTCTTTTGTTAGGGTCCAGATCCAAGCTGCCGTCTCACATCTGGAATCACAGTAGCTCTTTCATTTTTTACAAAGTGTTCTTTATAGTTGGCAGTAATATTTTAAAACCTGAAAGCTCTTCCCTTTTAAAATGTTCAAGGGGAGGGAGAGATGGCTCAGCAGGTAGCCAAGCCTAACAACCTGAGTTTGATACTCAAGACCTATGGGGTGGAAGGAGAGGACCAACTCCTACAAAGTTGTCTGCTGACCAACATATTCCAACATATGTGTGTGTGCGTGTGCACGCACACACACACGCATGCATGCGCACTGAATAGATACAATGTAAAAGCCACCAGAATGTACTCCCTCATACACAGATAGTACTTGTGCCAAATCAGATTTCCTGAAGTTCCAGAGCGTCAGAAGTCACTCCCTCAGAATCCCTATGCAAGTCCCTGTCTTCCCTACTGTCTATCTTTACATCCTATCTCTTGACATCCTAATCTCTGCCCCAAACCTAACGGGGTCTCCGCTGCATCTTTGCCTTTTTCGAGGCATCGCTTTCTGGCATGGGTTTATGTTTACTGTTTATTGTCTTCCAATGTACATTTGAGAGCAAACACCTCATTTGTCATCTTCACCCCTATCCTGACGGCGGTGCTTCCTCCCGTGGTAAACCCTCCACCTTCATTGCTCGGGTGAACATAGTCTGAGACCAGCCCTGCCCACTCGGAACCCCTTCCATTCTCTCCATTGCTACCCCTGCTTTTCCTCTCTGCCTGCCTGCCTTCCCTCATCCCCGCTCTGCTGCGGTTGAGCCTCTGCTCTCATGCACACACCTCCTGGCCATCCTCCTTCTGTCCTTAGCGCTATATTACCCGGGCACTCCGGCCTCTAGGAAGCAAGCCTGCTGTTGAGACCAGCATCTGCAGCAGTTACTCTCCTTCTTGCCTTCCCTGACAGCCTTTCGTTCCACGTCAAAACAGCAGTGAGTCAGGGAGATAGCCTCTCATGTCTCCCAGTGGCAAGAGAAAGGCAGTGCATACACAGCTATAGGGCCATGCCAGGAAGCGCACAATTCCTGCCACCTCCGGGGGAGGGGGGGGGGGGGGGGCTCTAGTACACTCCTTGTAACCTGGTGAGGGCTGCATTTCATTTATCAAACGAATGTCCATTCACTATCATGCCTTGCACATGGAGCTTTGCATCACGATCCGTTATTTTTAGTATTTCTTATTCCTTTCAACGAAGGTTTGTTCATGTGAGACAGAGTTCCATGCGGTCTGGACTGGCCTTGAAGTCACTGTATAGCTAAGGGTAACCTTGAACTCCTCGCCTCCTGTCTCCATTCCCTTAAGTGGTGAGGACTATGGGAATGCAGCACCACACCCAGACATCAGCAAATAGTTTTTGCACATAACTGCAAGCAGGGTAGGGCACTGGACCAGGGCACACAGGGAAGAGCAAAGCCACTGTACTCTTTGTGAGCTTACACTTTAGTAAGGGAGACAGTGAGCTATCGTGTGATTGACAGGCTGGGGCTCTGAGTCATGGGTGGAGCAAGTGCTTAGCATGGGCAAGGCTCTGGTATCTTCGTTCCTAGTCTATACTCAGATAGTGCTCCCCATATTTGTCTGCTGGATTTCCTTCCCTAGACTGGCTTTGAACTTGCAATCCTCCTAACCCAGCATCCTGAGTACTGGGTATTATAGGGATGTATCACCATGGCCAGTCAAATTTCCATGTTTTCTATTTTAAACAATTATGTGTGTGTACCTGTGCCCTAAACGCAGGTGTGGAGGTCAAAGGACAACTTACACAAGTGGTGTCTCTCTTTCCATCACGTGGGTCCTGGGGATCAGACTCAGGTCATCGGGCTGGGTGGCAGGTGCCTTTACCCACTGAACCATCTAGCTGGCTCCACAGTCCCATGCACCCTTTCCTCAAATGCCCGGTCTCTCTCTCAGCTGATGGTCTTGCTGCTTTATGAAGAAAACGGACCAGGTGGTGGTGGTATACACCTTTAATGCCAGCACTCGGGAGGCAGAGGCAGGTAGGTGGGTCTCTGTGAGTTCAAGGCCAGCCTGGTCTACAGAGTGAGTTCCAGAACAGTCTCCAAAGCAATACAAAGAAACCCTGTCTCGAAAAGAAAAGAAGAGAAAAGAAAAAGACAAAGAATATGGAAAGCCAGGCAGTGGTGGTTTATATCTTTAATCCCAGCACTCAGGAGGCAGAAGCAAGTGGATTTCTGTGAGTTTGAGGCCAGCCTGATCTACAGATCAGGTTTCAGGATAGCCAGGACACAGAGAAACCCTATGTTGAAAAGAAAAAGAGAGAGACAGAGAGACAGAGAGAGAAAGAAAAGAAACAAAAGTAGCCAGAGAGTTCTGTCTCATCACCCCCCATCTTCCTGCACCACTGCCCTTTTGGTGGACCCTGTCACTACTCAAAGTTGTCATTGCAGCAACTGTCCCTCCGTACCCTAACCCTCCCATCCCCATGTCTACTTGGCCATTGCCAGCAGTGTGCAGGCATGCCGAACGTCCTCAGACAGATCCTTTCTCTGCTTCCCATTATGGAAGGGCGTTTTCAGAAGATGGCCTCTCCTCACCAACTCTAAAGGACTGATGCCTGTAATTCACTGCCTGCTGTTTTGGAGATAGTCTTGCTACGTACGTAGTTCTGGCTGGCCCAGAATGCCCTATGTAGACCAGATTGGCTTCAAATTTGCCTGTCTCTGCCTCACAAGTGCTGGGATTACAAGCAAGAACCACCACTCCCTACTCCATAATTCATGATCTCAGTTTATAAAATAGCAGGTTTCTTTATGGTATTTTCACACATCCTTCATTTTGGTGTCTCCTCCCATCTGCCCACCCTCTCTTGCCTCCCTGTAGCGCTCCGCCCCCCTCTATCCCATGGGTCTTATTGTTCTCCCCTCCCTGCCGCTCAAAGCCTCCTTTTTCTTGTCTTCTGGACCTTTTCTAGTTTCCCAGCATTTACCCACATTTACTCTCACTGCATGTGCTTGTTTAACAGCTAGCAACTAAGATCTCCATCTGAGAGAGAACATGCAGTATCTGTCTTTCTGAGCCAGAGTCATCTCAATTAATATAATATTTTCCCATTCCAGTGATGGCCCTGCAAACGTCATACGTTCGCTTTTCTTAGTGGCAGAATGAAATTCCGTGGTTTATATGTAGCATAGTTTTATGACCCGTTCACCTATCAATGGACATCCGCCTCCACTTTCTCGGTATTGTAAAAAGAGCAGCCATGGACACGGATGAGCAAGTGTCTCTGCAGCAGGATGCAGAGTCCTTTGGGTACATGCCCAAGATGGCAAAGCTGGAACACGTGGTAGTTCTAGTGTTGTTTTGGTTCATACTGTGACTGCTCCAGTGTATGCTCCTACCAACAATGGACAAGGCTTCCTTTTTCTTCACATCATTGCCAGCATTTGCTGCCATTTGCTTTCTAGACAAAAACCATTTTGACAGAGGTGAGATGAAATCTTATGGGGTCTGGAGACTGAACTCAGTTCTTCAGGCTTGGCAGCCAGCACCTTTACTC